GTGGAGACTGGGTTTTATCATGTTGGCTGTGTTGATCTCGAACTCCTGACCTCAGGTGATCCAGCTGCCTTGGCCTCCTGAAATGCTGGGAGTACAGTGTTAGCCACCTTACCCGGCCTTCACTCCTTCACTTAAAGTCCCTGAATGACATTTTTTTTTTTTTGAGATGGAGTCTCTTATCTTGCCCAGGCTGGAGTGCAGTGGTGTGATCTGGGCTCAATGCAACCTCTGCCTCCTCAGTTCAAGGGATTCTCTTGCCTAAGCCTCCCAAGTAGCTGGGACTACAGGCTCGTGCCACCAGGCCTGGCTTATTTTTTGTATTTTTAGTAGAGATGGGGTTTTACCGTGTTAGCCAGGATGGTCTCAGCCTTCAAAGTGCTGGGATTACAGGTATGCCCTGAATGACATATTAAGAATTCAAATGTTTGGATGCTTAAAACTACTCTGTGAAAGAAAAAATTTTAGTTTTGCTTCTGTAGATCTAGCACTGTTGATCAAGGATTGGAATCTAGGAGACACTGGTGATGTAGCTGGTTTACTTTCCTGTTCATAGAAAATGGAACATATACTTAGTTAACAGGCTTTCCGTAGGCCGATAAACTAAATGGGAAATTAGTTAAACCAGTGGTTGCATAATCCTTAGTTGACATGAAACTCGGTTTTTCATTTAATCTTTTTTTTTTTTTTTTTTTTTGAGATGAAGTCTTGCTCTGTCGCCCAGGCTGGAGTACAGTGGTGTGATCTTTGCTCACTGCAACCTCCGCCTCCTGGGTTGAAACAATTATTCTGCCTCAGCCTCCCCAATAGCTGGGACTAAAGGCGTGTGCCACTACACCCAGCTAACTTTTGTATTTTTAGTAGAGATGGGGTTTCACAATTACTTACATGCAGTCCCTCTTAAAAATTTACCTCATTTTAGAGATGGGAATGAAGACAAAATGTTTTGCCAAGGCCAGGCGTGGTGGCTCACACCTGTAATCCCAGCACACTGGGAGGCTGAGGCAGGTGGATCACCTGAGGTCAGGAGATCGAGACCATCCTGGCTAACATAGTGAAACCTTGTCTCTACTAAAACTACCAAAAATTATATGGATGTGGTGGCACGTGCCTGTAGTCCCAGCTACTTAAGAGGCTGAGGCAGGAGAATCGCTTGAACCTGAGATCATGCCACTGCATTCCAGCAGGGGCAACAGAGCAAGACTCTATCTCAAAAAAAAAAAAAAAAAAAAAAAAAAAAAAAAGATCACACAGTGAGCAGCAGAAATAGGACCTAGATGCACATGTGACTCAGACTCAGGTCCATTCTTTTTTTTTTTTTTGAGATGGAGTTTCGCTCTTGTTACCCAGGCTGGAGTGCAATGGCGCCATCTTGGCTCACCGCAACCTCCGCCTCCTGGGTTCAGGCAATTCTGCCTTAGCCTCCTGAGTAGCTGGGATTACAGGTATGCGCCACCATGCCCAGCTAATTTTTGTATTTTTAGTAGAGACGGAGTTTCACCATGTTGACCAGGATGGTTTCGATCTTTTGACCTCGTGATCCACCCGCCTCGGCCTCCCAAAGTGCTGGGATTACAGGCATGAGCCACCGCGCCCGGCCTCGGGTCCATTCTTGACACTGCATGTGTGCGAAGATAGCAGCACGGTCTGGGTCACGCCCTGGCTGGTCTGCGATTAAAGTGACTTACTAAAGTAAGTCACTTTTGTGTCTGACGGGCTCAGGAATTGTTTCATATCTTCCTGCCTCCTTATTGACACTGACTCAATAAAAGCTTTCAGATATGAAATTTTAGTATACTCCATAGCATTTAATTGAGCATTTAACCATTTAAACTGTTTTTTCTTTCTTTCTTTCTTTCTTTCTTTTTTTTGAGATAGAGTCTCACTCTTGCCCAGGCTGGAGTGCAAAGGTATAGTCTCAGCTCACTGCAACCTCCATCTCTAGGTTCAAGCGATTCTCCTGCCTCGGCCTCCCAAGTAACTGGGATTACAGGCATCTGCCACCACACCCAGCTAATTTTTTGTATTTTTAGTAGAGATGGGGTTTTACCATGTTGGCGAGGCTGGTCTCGAACTCCTGACCTCGTGATCCGCCCATCTGGGCCTCCCAAAGTGCTGGGATTGCAGGCGTGAGCCACTGCACCCAGCTTCCTTAAACTGTTTTTCAAAGGTCCTACAAGGGGTATGAACAAGGTGGAACCTTGTGAGGGAAGGCAGTGGCTTTGGCGGTGAGGGGAGTCATGGCCAAAGCTGTCCTAGGGAGGAAAAAAAATGTCCCTTCCACTGTCTTTGCTAAAAGGGCAGTTGTAGAACATATCACCATACCTCCCTTTCCTCCTCCTCTCAAGGTCCTAGATGATGAGACCATGAGCATGTCTGGCATGAAAAGGTAAACTTGAGAAATGGAGCCAGGCGATATTAGGGGCTTGAGGAGGATGGCAGAACTGCTGAAATGGAAAGGTAGTGTTGGTCCACGTGTGAGCAGGAGCTGTGAGACGGCTGAAACTGTAAGTAAAGGCGCAAGTTGTGAGTTGGGGTATTACATATATAGGTGGGCGGGAGGGAGAGGAAAAAAATAGTATGAGAAGCATATGTGCATGAGTAGCTAAGCAAAGAAAATTCACACAGTGTTAACTGCTGTGATCCATGGAAGAGTTGTGAATCTAGGACTCTCTTTTGCTTTTTATTTTTTATTTTTATTTACTTTTTTTGAGGAAGCTTCTCTCTTATTGCCCAGGCTGGAGCGCAGTGGTGTGATCTTGGCTCACTACAGCCTCCGCCTCCCAGGTTCAAGCAATTCTCCTGACTCAGCCTCTCTAGTAGCTGGGATTACAGGCATATGCCACTACGCCTGGCTAATTTTTGTATTTTTACTAGAGACAGGGTTTCACCATGCTGGTCAGTCTGGTCTCAAACTCCTGACCTTGTGATCCTCCCATCTTGGCCTCCCAAAGTGCTGGGATTGAAGGCATGAGCCGCCACTCCTGGCCTGTTTTGCTTTTTAAAACTTAATCTTTGCTCTTCCTCCTTCTGGTAGTTTCTGTCAGGGTGGGTAGGAGGGAAATAGGGTTTACTGGAGTAAGAAGGTAGAATTTTTTTTTTTTTAAGATGTAGTCTTGTTCTGTCACCCAGGCTGGAGTGCAGTGGTGCGATCTTGGCTCACTGCAGCCTCTGCCTTCCGGGTTTAAGCTATTTTTCTGCCTCAGCCTCCTGAGTAGCTGGAATTACAGGTGTGTATTACCACACCTGGTTAATTTTTATAATTTTAGTGGAGACGGGGTTTTGCCACATTGGCCAGGCTGTTCTCAAACTCCTGACCTCGAGTGATCCACCTGCCTTGGCCTCCCAAAGTGCTGTGATTACAGGCGTGAGTCGTCAAAAAATTTTCTTAAAAAGGACATTAAGGCTGGACATGGTGGCTCACGCCTGTAATCCCAGCACTTTGGGAGGCCGAGGCAGGTGAATAACCTTAGGTTGGGAGTTAGAGACCAGCCTGACCAACATGGAGAAGCCCCGTCTTTAAAAAAAAAGAAAGACATGTTTTTATGGCTGAAAGTTAAGTATGTTAGGAGAACAAGAAAAGAGGAAAGGAACTAACCAATTGTTCTTTTTTTTTTTTTAGATAGAATCTCACACTGTCACCCAGACTAGAGTGCAGTGGCACCATCTTGGCTCACTGCAACCTCCATCTCCTGGGTTCAAGCAATCCTCCTGCCTCAGCCTCCTAAGTAGTTGGAACTACAGGTGCACACCACCATGCCCAGCTATTTTTTTTTTTTTTTTTTTTTTTTTTTGAGACGGAGTTTCGCTCTTGTTACCCAGGCTGGAGTGCAATGGCGCGATCTCGGCTCACCGCAACCTCCGCCTCCTGGGTTCAGGCAATTCTCCTGCCTCAGCCTCCTGAGTAGCTGGGATTACAGGCATGCGCCACCATGCCCAGCTAATTTTTTGTATTTTTAGTAGAGACGGGGTTTCACCATGTTGACCAGGATGGTCTTGATCTCTCGACCTCGTGATCCACCCGCCTCGGCCTCCCAAAGTGCTGGGATTACAGGCTTGAGCCACCGCGCCCGGCTTATTATTATTATTTTTTAAATATTTTTAGTAGGGACAGGGTTTCACTATATTGCCCAAGATGGTCTTGAACTCCTTACCTGAATTGATCTGGCCACCTCAGCCTTCCAAATTGCTGGGATTACAGGCACGATCCACCACGCCTGGCCCAATTGTTCTAATTTGAATATTGTTCTGGTGCCCTACCATTGGGTGACTCAACCAAGAGAAAAATGTAGAGTATGGTTATCTCAAGGGGATGACGTGGGAGTAAGAAAAAAAAGTAGTGAAATGAAAAAATACTAATGATATAAGACATGAAAAGGTGACTATCAAACTATTCTCATAGTATTGCATGTATGAATTAATTGCATGTATATGTATAAAGATTAGAAGTTAAGATGGACGGGTGGAAAAAATTTGATTTGATGAAATTGTGACAAGTTTGCTTTTACCTTTTTGTTATCTTAAAATTTTGCAGCTCAGGCACAGTGGCTCACGACTGTAATCCCACTTTGAGAGGCCGAGCTAGGCAGATCATGAGGTCAGGAGTTCAAGACCAGCCTGGCCAACATGGTGAAACCCCGTCTCTACTAAAAATATAAGAAAAAAATAGGTGTGTGTGGTGGTGCGCACCTGTAATCCCACTGCTCAAAAGGCCGAGGCAGGAGAATTGTCTCAACCCAGAAGGTGGAGGTTGCAGTGAGTTGAGATCACACCACTGCATTCAAGCCTGAGTGACAGGGCGAGACTCCATCTCAAAAAAAAAAAAAAAAAAAAAAAAAAAGATTCGCAATTAAGTATTGTTTTTAAAATTTTCAGTAGTTTTTGGGTGACAGGTGGTTTTCGGTTACATAGATCTTTAGTGGTGATTTCTGAGATTCTGGTGCACCCATCACTGAGCAGTCACTGCACCCAATATGTAGTCTTTTTTTTTTTTTTGTCCCCTGAGGGGTTTCACCATTCCTAGAAGTACTGCAATACGGGGTCGATGCGTGGATTGGACAGAGCAAGCTCCTATTCCATCTCCCTGCTCCAAAAATCCATTTAATAGATTGTCCTCAGATGGAGATATTAGATATTATCTGATAAGAACAAATACTACGCTTGATCTCAGTCAAAAGGCTGAGAAGCGATCATGTCTTTTATTCCTCACCTCTCTGTGCTTAGGTATTTAAACAAGACCTTCTTCTTCTTCTTCTTTTTTTTTTTTTTGTCTGAGACAGGGTCTTACTCTGTCTCCTAGGCTGGAGTGCAATGATATTAGCTTGGTGGCTCACTGCAACCTCTGCCTCCCGGGTTCAAGTGATTATCATGCCTTAGCCTCCTAAGTAGTTGGGATTACAGACATGTGCACCACATCCGGCTCATTGTTGAATTTTTTTTTTCGAGATGGACTTTCGCTCATGTTGCCCAGGCTGGAGTGCAGTGGCGTGATCTTGGCTCACCACAACCTCTGCCTCCTGGGTTCCAGTGATTCTCCTGCCTCAGCCTCCCAAGTAGCTGGGATTACGGGAGCCTCACCACCATGTCTGGCTAATTTTTATATTTTTAGTAGAGACAAGGTTTCTCTATGTTGGTCAGGCTGGTCTGGAACTCCTGACTTCAGATGATCTGCCCGCCTCGACTTACCCAAGGTGCTGGGATTACAGGAGTGAGGCCACCACGCTCAGCCAAGACCGTATTCATAAGTGGTCCTCTGTCTAGGTTTCCCGTTCTCGCTGACAAACCATTACAATGGTTATCTTACTCTACTGTGATCATTGGCTCATGGGTCTGCCTCCCTCTTTAGGCCAAGAGCTCTTTGAGGACGGACTATGACTTACTCACATCAGTGTTTCATAGCATGGGGCCCAGCATGAAAATGTTCAGTAAATATTGCCACAAATTCATTTGCCTTCGGTAATGGTGCAGTATTTGCCTTGACTATATTCAGGGTTGCCTGATAACATCCCAGGCTGTTGATGAAAAAAGGGGCCGGGTGCAATGGCTCATGCATGTAATCTCAGCACTTTGGGAGGCCAAGGAGGGTAGATCACTAGGTCAGGAGATCAAGATCATCCTGGCCAACATGGTGAAACCCTGTCTCTACTAAAATGCAAAATTAGCTGGATGTGGTGGCTTGTACCTGTAGTCCCAGCTACTTGGGGAGAGCTGAAGCAGAGAATTGCCTTGAAGCTGGGAAATAGAGGCTGTAGTGAGCCGAGATCACACCACTGCACTCCAGCCTATCGACAGAAGTGAGACTCTGTCTCAAAAAAAAAGAACAAGATATTTGAAGAACCTTTAAAAAGTCCTTGTGTTGGCCTGGGGTGGTGGCTCATGCCTGTAATCTCAGCACTTTGGGAGGCCAAGGTGGACAGATCACCTGAGGTCGAGAATTTGAGACCAGCCTGACCCTGACCAACACAGAGAAACTCCATCTCTAAAAAAAATATGAAATTAGCTGGACGTGGTGGCACATGCCTCTAATCCAGCTGTTTGGGAGGCTGAGGCAGAGGAATTGCTTGAACTCGGAAGGCAGAGGTTGTGGTGAGCCGAGATTGTGCCATTGCACGCCAGTCTGGGCAAGAAGAGCGAAACTTCATCTCAAAAAAACAGTCTTTGTGTTAAATCAGATTTGGATTTAATTAGAATTCCTTATCTGTTACCTCCTTACTATTTTAAAAACAGTGTTTGGGAATAGAATGGAGAGAAATGTCCAGAAGCAGTTGGTGTGTTTGTAACTGTGCTTTAATCTGAAA